TCTTTCCTGCAGGAGGAAGCAGAAATTGCATGTGATCCGTGCACTTCTGTGGAATCTCTGAAATCTACCCTGCAGAAAGACAAAGATACATCTCACCGCTACACACACAGAAACGGCAGGCCTGGAGGTCGCACTCTATCAACCATAGCAAAGGCAGACAAAAATGACCAGTCCTGTATTTTCTGTAAGAAGGGTGGACATAGTATTCAAGAATGCTATACTTTTACAGCTAAGACCATGTCAGAGAAACAAGATTTCATCAAAAAGGGTGGTTATTGTTTTGGTTGTCTGCATTCTAGTCATGTGTCTAGGAAATGTCCAAATCGAAGTATATGCAAGAAGTGCAGTAAGAGACATCCCACTAGCTTGCATAGTGAAGAAAGAACATTTCAAATCTGCCAATAGAGGGCGGCAGCCACAAGCGGTACTGGATCTTCCGGGTGTCATCGCGCTAGCCGATCAGTTCAAGTCAATTTTAACGAAGGCATACAATGCATTGGACTCTGGAGGTGCCATACTTATCATGGAAGCCCTGTATGATGACGATAAAACAGGTCCCATCGCAACAACCGGTATTGGCATGGTGATGATGGCATGTTTCGATGGAGGGAAGCAGAGAAGCGCCCATGAAATGACGCAACTTCTGGAAAAGCATGGATTTGTTGACGTACAAGTAAAAAAAAGTGGTGTTGTCCACAGTGCAATTTTAGCAAAGAAAATGTGATGAGTAGGAATGGGTTAATTCAAATCAAGTAATGTCACCAATTATTTATTTTATGATTAATTTGGTCTGGAAAATACAATTATTGTTAATGTAATAACGAATTCTTGTGTTAAACCTTCAAATTAATGAGTTCTTTTTAATTAATTATACCATTAATTCTTGTTCTGATGATAATTAAACTTGTCATGACATCATTATCCTACTGTGATTCAAAATTATACTTGACAAAAGTTGTACACCTTCATTGCTCAAATTGTTATATATATATATAGAGAGAGAGAGAGAGAGAGAAACTTATAAGAAATAGTGACAGAAGTTATATTGCTTGTTACGTGTCTCTTAAACTACATTTATATCTTGCTAACTAAAATACCAACTTGTGGTAAACAAAGACATCTGAACATATCTAACATGGTTGCAAGGTGATTTTGTGACATATTAACTCCAAAATTTCGTAATAATTTTTTTACACTACTATGCCTTCAGTGGGCGCAGTATGGTGAATAAAATAAAATACAAATCATTAAAAATAAAGCAGCTAAATAAACTAAACTATTATAAGATAAAAATTAAAGTAAAAGATGTTAAAAGCTTAATTTGAAAAAAAATAATATTAATTAATTCCACTGTGGAGGCGATAGTTTTCATATACTTAATATCGTTTTGCTTCATTTATAAACTTTGCTGGAGATATAGCATGTTATTATTTTAATGAAATTGTCTGTTTTATTTAGTTTATATTTAATTCTTATGTCTTGAAACAGCTTCTCTATTTCTTCATCAAAAAATTCGCAATAAAAAAAATAAAAATAAAATGAAATATATGAAATAATGTACAAGCTACTCACAGTGCAACATACGTATTCCATTCATCCTAAAAATAACCCAATGGCAATTAAATCAGCTAAGTGAATCCTCTCGTTTCAGTTTGAATTGTGAAATAAATAGAAAAAATATTTATAAAGATGATAGGAATGCCTTTGTTGCACTCAGAGTATGTCAGGTTTTGGATTTGGGTTATGTTTCAAGCATTATGATGTCATGTGATTAATTATCGATAAAAATGTTTGATTTGGACAATAACACGAGTAAACAAATTAGCGACAGACGTATTTATAACTGGTGTGACTGTGAAATAATTTAGTAAATGCTATGCAAGGGCAATAAGCAAACCACTGATAAGTTACAGCGAAGTAACTTCGTTAGGGTTGTAATTGTCATTATTGTCCATAGACAGCTGGTCTACAGGTGATTATCAAATAAATGTAATTACTGTAAAATACTTTATTTTAGCTGGAATTAATTTTTTTTTTGGCGTTTTATATGGAATTTATTTTCACTGATTTTTGATGAATTGAATGTAAAATATAGGAAAAAAGATATATTCCTTAGATTTTATTTTCACTGAATCATTCCTTCAACGAAAATAGCAAAAATTAAAATAAATAAATAAATAAATAAATAAATAAATAAATATAATATTTTTCTTGTAACAAGCGATGACCGTACATCTTATATACAGCATATCCAGTTGATTGCTTGAAGCTCTTTTGAGAAACATAAATCCAAAATGTTGGTCAATTTTACCTAAAATCCAAGATGGCGGCCAAACCATGTGACAGAACTGAACATTCTGGAAGAGTTCCATATAGAGATGCATTGCAGCAAATGAGAAGATAATCGCATAAATATGGCATAGTAGTAAAAAAATATATGAAATAATGTACAAGCTACATGGAAATTTAATCAAAGACGAGAAAACTGTACAAGGACTGTCATAAGAGGTATTTCTGTATGCTAATGAGAAGCCTTGTTTTAAAATACACAAAAATAAAGTTGCAGTAGAGTTTGAAACGCATTTTTTTCACTTTGAAAAATATTTTATGCTTAAAAACATAAAAAATAATAACATTGATGTACCAATGAATGATTTTAGGTGAGAAAATAGCAGCCATTTAACAGGCACTTTAAGGAATAAAGACCATCAGTATTTAAAAGTCTGATAGCTGCTTTCAGTACTAACTCTCCTGTTATAATAAAACAGTGTTTACTACTTCATTTACCGTATATTGTCATATTTATGTCAAATTTCAACATTTCATACATACATCTTAAGGATGTCAGTAGCATATGAACTTATGTAAATTACAGAGGGGTTTCTATGGTCAAAATGAGTCATATTTTAAAGTGGGAGGGTCGTCACCTGTGCACGCGTGGGAATTGAGTCCCAAGCGACGATAACACACACTAAATATGCAAAGGCTCATGGGTAGACCCTTGTTTGTAAACAATGACACGCTATGGCCGTCTGACGCATGCGCAGGTGACGACTCCCGCGCTTTAATGATTTAATGTACAGCTAATGTAATTGTTGGTTTTATATGCAGTTCTATTGGAGACGAGACTGTATAGACGAGAACATTCACGTGATGTACTAAGAATGGAATTCACCAATACGAACGTGCTCTGATTGTTTTGGTATACACAATCACATGTTAATCACATGCATAATAGTGTTTTTGATATACAAGTATTTTTTTCTGTATTTTTTTCCCAGAGACAAGTACTACTTTGTTATGTCCACATATTTAGTCTGTCCAACTCTGTAAACATTGTGTTAATATAATCCCAAATATTTAAACTTCATATGAAATGATATTTAAACGATAAATCATCTGTAAATCAAACTGCAATAAATTATTGTAAAAAAAAAAAGAACAGTTAATGAAATGTGCCAAAATTATTAATTATGTGACACTTTTGATAGTATTCTCCACAATATGCCTGTTTTTCTGAAACAAACAACATATACACTGGCTCGAAAGATCGAATGTAAGCAAGGCTAAAAACCAATTGCTTCAATTGCTTTGATATTACATATATAGGTACTACATGTGGACCTCTCTCAGATTTGTTCATTTCGTGATGATATCTTCAATTCCCTAATTTTGATGAATATTTTTGTAATATTTTTGTAATATTTGGTGAAAAGTGATATATTATATTACATATATAGGTACTACATGTGGACCTCTTTCAGATTTGTTAATTTCCTGGTGATATCTTCAATTATCTAATTTTGATGATTATTTTTGCCATTTTTGGTGAAAAGTGATATTTTTGAATCCTTGTTGAAAAAAGCAAGTTCCGTTGCTTTGATACTTTACATAATGTTAATTTTCTAATATCTTCTGTTCTTTAATTGAAGTGTGCATTGCTAACAGCGGAGCTATCTCAGCCGACAGGCTGCTTGTCTTATATATCTAGTACTATGTAAATAATAGATATCC